ATAGTTTAAATATGGCTTTAAATAATATTGAATTTATTACTTTGCTTCATAAAAATAAACAATAGTGGATAGTAATATTGGTGAACGCAGAAAAAATGGAGAAGTTATCGTTTTGACCGGCAAGAGCTCGCTTTTTGCCTCCGGTAAGAAAGTTATCATTGAAAAGTCCGAATGGTGCTGGTGCTACTAACCTACTTATATATTTTCACCTTTCGTCTTTCATCACCAAGCGATTATTTCTTCATTTTAATAACCAGAGGAATAAGCAGGAGCAGAAAGCGCAACCATTTACTTAATTGATGAAGAATGCATGAATTTTAGAGTTATCCTCAAAATTTCTCATATTTTTTCTAGTAGAAATTTTCTCTTATCTAGAAAGTCGAAGTTTAAGATCAAATAATTTCAATAAAATAATTTTTAATATATTGAAATATATTTAATTTATTGAAAAAATTTCAATCGCATTCAATTACATTTCAACTTTTATATCTATTTGTTAGCGTTTAAGAATTTGCCTCCCACTTATAGTCTCAATTTATGCATTTATCCATACAAAAACGACCAATGTACTTAAATTGCTTCGCCAAGCAGCGCTTCTTACGAATGCAACTGCTGAGTTTTAGAGCTTTACGAATGTTAAATAGGTTTTAAAAAATTAAAAAGTTTAGAAAGGCATTAAAATCTACCTTCGAGTTTCCAAAGTCATTACCGCATATTAATGATAATAATAATTTTTTAAGACTATGGATCAAATCGTAAATGCCAAGCTAACTAGCACTTAATTCCATTTTGCATTAACATTTGACTTTCGCATAATTCATTAATTTCACACAGTTCTATGTGCAAAAGCTCGTGCTACAAGAATTAAAAAGCAATAAACTCTGCAGAAATTATTTAATTAAATTATTTATTTATATCGGAAAAAATTTGAATAAAAAACTAAATTTACCCAAGATTTATCACTTTCAATTCATCCAAATCATAAGATTACCTTACCTTAGGTAGCAGTTTATTTTCCTTTAAAAGTTCCTTTTCTTTTTCTTTTAACAGTTTAGTGGTTTGGCTGACGCCGTCGGCCATATAAAATGCAAAATGATTGAAACATCTGTATGCTGTATGCTGATCAAATTATTCCTAATTTCTCTTGGTAATTCTTCGTCATCCATCTTAACTAATTTCTGAGAATTTTTTTAATTAAAAGCTCAACTAATTCCTTGAAAAAATCATCAATATTTATTGCCTATCGTAAAATCAATAATTTACTTTCAAACGGATAATCAGTGCTTTAATTTATTGGCTTCTTTTAGCTGTCCTCACCATTCCTGGTTTGGTGATAGATGTGACCTTCACTAGAGGGTAATTCTTTTCTGTTAAGCCATAGAAAGTGGCAAAAAACTGATCTGGATAGAAGCAATTCAAATATCAATTGATTCATTCTCCGCCATCTGATTTCTGCATTTAACTTTAAATGTTAATCTTTATTGTATTTTTTTTGCACTATTTCATTCTTTAATTCTGCAATATTTTATTTAGACATTTATATAATATATATTTATATAACACTTATTTAAATTTATATAATACATATACATAAATTCGAAAATTTTTCAGAGTAAAATGCGACAAAAAATAAATCGTTTACGATGTCGCAGCTGATTTATAAACACTGGTTTTCAATAAATTATCGATAAAAAGAGGCAAATTCACAAAAAAATGGTTTTAGGTGAAATTTGGTGGAACGATCTTAATTAAAAAATATAATTGGTGAATTAAATTGGTTATAATCTCTTAAACCTTACTTAATAAATTTATTTATTTCAAAAACGTCGTTACAAAATGCTTGCAATATATAATCATGAAATAACGATAATAATGCCTACGCAAAATATTGAAGAAAACTAATAAATGAAAAACTGTACTAATTTTTTAAAAATGCGATTTCAATAATACAGAAGAGAATTTTGAAGAGATTATCTAAAGAAAATCCACTTGGTGCCATTTGATATGCACGTATGATCTAATGAATCGCTCCATAAGACAATTAATCATCGGCTATACACTTAGTGTATCTAGGTTTAAGGAAAATAAAGACACATTAAAGGATTCTTATTTGTTAGCAATCGCCTGAGTTTAGCAATTCACGAAGAGAATTTTGCCTGTCTGCATCTTTCCAAAATCCTTCTTCATCATCATGGACACAATAAGCGCCCTCTTTGTGGAATCCATTTGGGCAGTCATCAACTAAATATTTGTTAATTTTAATTTAAAAAATTTAAATGAAGGTCAGATAAATCTTATACGATTTTAAGACAACGAATAATTCAAATTTTCAAATTGATAAAATGACCCGATGAGTGTAAACAAGTTTAATTAATTAATTGCAACATTTTTTATCAATTTTATAAAAGAAATATATTTATATATTTATTGTATAGCCCATTTCAAAAAATGAAGCCTAATTTGTATTTTCTCCAACTTCCACAGATTGGTCACACAGTTGTCTGTTTTGACCATGTGTAATCTCAATTTATCAATAAATTTTATACTGATATATTTTAATGAAGATTATGATAGTTCATTTTACAACCAGTCAAATGTACTCCCTTTATTTCACTCACTTCACTCCCGAGACCCCTTCGATAGGCAGCGATTTTTACGATATGCGTCAGGGGTCCATTAATTGTGGATCTTATTTTTTTGATGGATGGCAAACTGAATTGCATATAAGAAAATCTATATTTCGTTAAATAAGTGTATATTTATATAAAGTAAATTGTTGATAAATTGTTGATCTGTGCTAGCCATGCTCTTCAGTTAAAATAACCAGGTGAACCATATATATACACATTTATTTAAAATCTTAGACAAAATAAGTGGTCAGCGCTCATAACTTGGGCATCGCTGGCTGTTAATATGGTTTTTATACATTAATGATGTAACCAAAATTCAACCATTTACCTCTGCATTGATGACTGCAAAATTTACCACTCTCATGATAGGTCGGATAACCTGTCGTGTTATAAGATAACTTTAATGGAATTACCAACTGGTTATATGACGCAAATTACCCTTTGCATTCAAAAATATAGCGTATTACAAATTTGAAAGGATCCGATCGTCTTGATCTCTTTATTAATAGTAATATAATCAGGCGTATGTCGAATATCTCAGATCTTGGCATGGCACATGGATGAGAATAGTGATTTCGACCTTCATTGCAGAACCATAGTAAAGAAATCCTCAACTCTCAAGAATTTTTATTTTTCGGTTTAAAAACAGAACAAAAAACTTATACAAAGCGTTCGTTCGGCCTCTTTTTAAATACAATTGAACCTGTTATTCCCCTAAATATCACACATCAAATAAATTAAATGATTCGAGAAATACTTTATACGACGTCTCTCTCCTAATACTAATCTTAATTATAAAACTTCAACTTGGCTGTTTTATATTGAAACTTTTTAAAAAAATGATTAAATAAGTTTGAAATCTCGTTCTTTCGATTATGTCTCAGTATACATTCAGTTCGATTTGTATTATTATGTCACCACTGAATCATGAGGAACTCTTTCGAAATAAGAAGTGTCAGGGCTGTGTCCTTTCCCCTATATTCATCTGTGTCCTTTCCCCTATATATGCGGTAGACTGGATAACGGGCAATACTTGTCGGCATTCAATAGGTGAGTTACATCTCCAAATCATTCAATCAGTCTAGAGCATAACATCACAGACCTCGAATACGCTGATGATGTAGTTCTTTTTGCTGACAGTTATAAGGAAATGCAAATAATAAAAAATGAAAAAGTGTTTTCGTATTATTTTTATCAATTCATTACTGGTTGAAGAAATGGTTGACTTTAAGTACCTTGGGTTCACTCTAATCCCAAATGACCATGCAAAAGGATGAAATTATAACCCGGATAAACAGTTAGAACTATGTGAAATATGTTTTTCGGTTGATGAAACCTTTATGAAACCGTAGCGAAATTACTATAAAGACGAAAATCCGAGTCCGTATATCTTTCGATCTTGCTATATGGCTGCGAAACATGGTGAATGAGAGTAGAAGATATTAAGAAGCTACCAGCCTTTGACCACTCATATCTAAGATGCATATGACGGATCCATCGAAAGGATAAAATCGCAACTGATTTCCTCCATCTTCGCTCAAATCTACCAGTGTATTCATCATGTTATCACACAGCGTCGCCTTCGCTGGTTAGGGCACGTTCTCCGTCGTTCACAGCAGGAGTTGAAACATTTTTCGTTATTAGCTAAACTCTGTGATGGTTGTTGGCGTCAAAAGCGAGGAGGACCAATCAAGACCTGGACTGATACAGTCAGGAAAGATTTTGAACGTATGGGGGACCAGCGATATATGGATTTAGACAATGAAAAAAAGGAATGGCTTCCATTACTATTAGCGATGGCATCGGACCAAACAGCTCGGAGGTTTTATGTCTTATCCTTGTGGCCAGCAGAGCCAATCTAACCAGTAATGATGAGAGCTATTAGAAGAAGAAGAAGTATTATTAAGTAATCCCCTTTTATTTATTTATCTCTACATTATCAGCTTTTGGTCATATTTCTATCTTATATCGATATTATTATTATAATTTTATAATTTCTATTTTATTCTATTTTATAATATGATATTATTATAATTTTTATTCATTTGGTATTTGTCACAATGCAAGCATATAACGCTCGTCACTCTGTTTGGTTGTTCTATAAATAATTATCCAAAGTTGAGGAGGTGGTTCGCCAGCCTCTCAGATTTTTCAGTGGCTTTTTAACGTCGGAGGATAAATATCAGAAACAGACTCTCTCTCTCTCACCATGGTAATCTATCTACTCACTTCCTAGAAGAATTTTAATTATTATTCCAAATATGCTTTGAGGTGTAATTAGTGCAATAGCCTAATCACTGATTGCTTGCTATCAGAAAAAATAAATCAGCGATATGCTTATGTACTGTTTTCAATTTTTAAAACTTTTTGTCAATTTTTCATAGAAAAATTCTTACAGCATCGCCCATATAGTATGAAGCCATTTTTGCATTGGCACTGAGCTACACTTTTATCTGTCGCGTGCTCACAGTATGTATTTTCGCATCTAGATGAACACTCGATATCTGATAAACATCCATATTCGCCAGGCCATAATTTTCTAAAATAGGCTAATTACCTTATTTCACAAATTCATTACCAAGTCAATCATTTTCCTTTTAAAATTTCGAATTTCAAAGCATCTTTTCAAATCGAAAGATTTTAATGCTATATTATAATTCTTTACTTGCCTCCGGCATTCTCCATTTACGCATCTTTCATTAGGGAGACAAGTGCTATCGGGATCTATATCTTGGATTGTATTATTTACTACACATTTTCGTTGAGAGACGACGTTATACCACACTATAATAATTTATATAAAATATCTAAAATAAAAATATATGGTGACAATAATAAAAAAACATCAAGCATATTTTGCATGAGGAAATTTTTGAGTCTTTGCATAATTTTTATATAGATTTTCTTAAAAATATTGCCATATTTTTATTGAAAATTTGAATTGAAATACCTAAAAGAACATAAAATATATTTAACAATATTCTCCACCTTTCCTCTTTAACCAATTTATGAATTCTTTTATTTGTATTCTATTTGTACCTGGATTCAAAATAATCTTCATCGCCAATAGATTCTCACAAGCAAAAAATTTTTAGTTAATTTTGTGGTATTACAAAGAAATGAAAATCTAAAGAATTAAGATCTAGGCTGATGAGGTAGAAATTTCCAGCCAAGTTCTTTCATTTTTTGGCGCATCTTCTTAGAAGCGTGAAATCTTGTCTTGCCAGGTTGGAGGATACACTCTTCAAAGTTAACAATTATGGGCATGATGTTCTTGAAGACGACTGAGCTCGCAGTAGATATCAGAGATGATAGTTTGATCAGGTTTAAGAATTCTCCCTTTTATTTCCTACCACTTGTTGCTGGTATTCACCTCGTAACCATTAGTATTTGCGACTAATAATGGAACAATGCTCCTTGGAAAGCTTATGTTGGATTCAAACATTATTCCTATTTGATTTCCTCATGGCTTAAAGGTGAGTGAATATTGCATATTGCTTATATATCGTACGTGTCATTTTTGGCAATTTCGTACAATGTTTATTTTGGATCGGCTTCGACCGGGCAGAATATCTTCATCAATTTTTTTATAGGCCTACCAGATCTTTGAGTGCTTTATAAATTGAAGTCGCTACTTCCAAATTCACTTTCTAGATGAATTTTCACCAAAATCAACTGAAGCATATAATGCCACTAGAATATAAGCGATTTGTGTTGCTCTTTTTATAAAAAACCAAAAACATCACTAAAAATTTACCTCAGAAAAAAGAAATATTTTTGAGACAATTTATTTTATATCAGAATAATAAAATATATATATCAGGATAAAACTTACAAGGTTCATCAGTCACATTATCAACGGGTGCGAAGATTGGCTTTCTACGGGCTGCACTAAAGATGTACTTACATGGTGACCCATATTGGTCGCATCCAGATTTCGCCTAGCAAAAAAGATATTGTCCTATATATTTATTGGTTTAAATTTCTGATAATATTCTTTCTAATGCGAGTTAAAATAAGAAACTTAAAGAAGTTCGTAAATTGTTTCCAATTCCATGGCAGAATCACATCAAATGATCCAGCAATTTGCCACTAAATTCGGCTAAAACTATTAGGCTAATGCACATAAATCATATGGAAGATGGGGAGGAAGAATTATCGAAAAATATATACCTGTTGTAACAAAGCTGGACTCAATTTTTGGCAAGTCACACCTACTGAAATAGCTCCATTTATGCAAATACAAATATTTTGCAAGCATGTAGCTAAATTTGAGTTAAATCCATTGCAACGATGAGATGATTTACAACTTGATCCGGGGATTAGATCATACGCCGATACACCTGCAAACCAATTTATGAATTACTCTATTTCCATAAAAAATCCTAATTTTTTGAAATAAGGCCAATATAAAAGCAAAAGGAAAGTCCAATTATTTCATCTACCTGATGTGCAACAGCTTCCCATAGAACAAGCCGATTGAGGTGGACATGCATTCGTTGGTGAACACTGGCAAATAGCGCTCTGTTGCGCAGGACATATAGAGGTTAGTGATAGCATACAACATCCTCCTAATGAAGTACAACCGTAACCAGGTGGGCAATCACGACCACGATCACACTTTTGCGTTGCTCGGCCGCCATTGGGGCATAGAGGCATTGGCTCAAGACAACATCCTCGACCTAATAATAATTGTTACATCAATTTTATCCTCGTTCAGAAAAAACGGTTGGCATTGGTTATCTAAAAACCAGCCGGAGCATTTGCGATCAGCGAAAGACAAAATGGCGAGACAACAACTGATTTATAGTTGCCTTTTAAAATTATCTCAGTTGTCCAGTAGACCATAAAAAATAATTTCTATAACACTTTTGCTGCAGTTATGAAATGTTATTACCTGCATAAGCGCATTTTTTTCCCATGAAAAGCATTTCTATCTTTCAAAATTTAAAATTTGCAATTTTTAAAATTTAATTTTACCCTCGCAGACATAACCAACTGGACACATGTTTCCTATTCCGCAAGGTTGCACTGCTATTTGGCCATTTATGCATATCGAAAGAGGACAGCACATACCATTTTCGCAAGCCTTAAATACTCAAATCGATCAGTTAATATGCAAAAAATTTGTAAAAATGCAATAAATGCTTAATCCTTTAACAAAAAGTTTGAAAATTATTTCTGACTGCAAACTTTTCGTGGTGTTTCAGTGACTCAGTGGCAAGATAATTTCACAGAGGATGGAGGCTTGGGTTCGAATCCGTCCGACACATCACAATTCGTTGGGTGGCAATGTCCTTTAAAGATAAGAAAAAGAGAGTAGTAGTAGAAAAGAGACTAGTGGGCTGTTGCGCAATTCCGAGCGTCGATGATAAATTTTTTTTATTCCATGCATGAGTAAACTTATACTTCAAAAATCCGAATGATGATGGTTGCTCACGTGTCTATCGCCAAGGGATCCTTTGGCATGCTTGTCTATTCCGACAAGGCCGCGATTCTAAGCAGCGATAGTGAGTACTCTTTAAAAAAACCTAAAAAAACTTACATCTTAATATTATATTATGATTTTGTAATTGAACCAAACCTGGTTGGGAGGACATGCATTAGACGAACTGCATCGCTGCGACGGTTGAGCACCAGATGGGCATAACGGCAACGGGCAGCAGCCTCCGTTGACACATTCGTTACCTCGACCACAGTGGATCATCGTTGCACATACTTTCGCGGATATTACCCCTCCAGGGCATATGGGGAGAGGACAGCAAACTTCATTATTACAATGTTGGCCAGAAGGGCAGCAACACCCTCCTGCTTGACACCTTGAACAATATTTTTTAAAAAACCTTTGAGAAATTATATAAGCTGCTAGTGGGTTTTTTTTCGATATTAACTAAACTGATAAGATAGAATGGCTTCTTCGTGGGTTTATGGGTCGTTGCTTTCAATTCTGAGTTCTATAAGTACGTTAGGAGAAACAATCAACGAATAAAACAATCAACGAATAATGAAAATAAAACAATCAACGAATAATGAATAAACAACCTCTGTGATGGCATTACTCCGTTTCCACATGAAGGCAGTGGGCAACAGCCACCACTAACACACTCAAATCCGTTTCCACATTCGCTGCTCGTCAGACAAATACGAACAGCAAGTAAACCCATTCCGCATCTTGGTAATGGGCAGCACAAACCTTCCATGCATACTGTGTTACCTGGACAACTTGTTCCTGTTAAACAACGACCTTGTGCCTAAAAGCACTAATTAAGATTTTGCATCTTATAAATCAATTTGCGATTAAAATAATACAAGAATTATGATTCACGAAAAATTAAAAATTACGAAAAGTAAAGCAGAGCAAAGCAGCATTCCCATGATGGAATTCTGCTTGTGAGATGAGAAATTTGAAATGTTTTACTTGAGCTCCTAATGGACAAAACGGTATTGGACAGCAACCTCCATTTGAACATTCCATTCCTGGAGGGCAACCCTTAATTGTACCATTAAATTGCACTTACCGAAAATACCATTAAATTGAAATTGAAAAAAAAAGCAGAACAAGCAGATAAAAATCAGCCATTTAAAAGAAAGCGTAATTATAATTATACAAAAATAAGCGTAATAAGCGTAATTATAATTATCATTATAATTATCATAATTATCATTTATTGATCTTTTTTTTTAAGTTCAAATACACTTGGCATTATTACAGTAATTCAATTAATAGAAAGGATTTAACAATTATCGAAAGATTGTTTGCGATCTAAAAAAAATTGCTGGAATTTTTCTGGATTTATTTTTACGATAAATATAAGAAAATAACTTGGTTTGTGATGCATCTTTGGGCCGATGGATGCCCACTTGGGCACACTGGCACAATTGCTTGTTCTTGGCGAGCACAACAACATCCACTTACGCAGCTCGACTTAAATTTATTTTAATAAATTTTATTTATTTAATTATGTATTAAATTAATATACTTAATATATTACTTTAAATAATATCTAAATAATACAATATATACACAATAAAATAATAATACAATATTAAGTAATAAATAATACATTAATATAATTAAATATAATATAACATATTAATATTATTTATTTATTAATATAATAATGTATTATGATATATGAATGAATATGAATATATTTAAATAATATATTAATTTAAAAATTAAATTTTTTATAAATAAATTTAAATAAATTTTTTGAAATTAACCATTTATTTTAATTGCACATTTAAATAAATCCAAATATTCAGACAATTTTAACACAGTACCTACTAAATTATTTAATATGGCCATTAACCGTAAGAAAAAGCAATATTATAAGCAAAATTCACGTACTGCTTGCGGGCAAGAGCTCTTAGACTGTCCACAAAAACCAGTTGGACTATGACCAGTTGGGCAAGAAAGTGGGCAGCAAACTCCTTGATAACAACCCATATTTTGTGGGCACTGCTCCAAAAAGCCACATGGCTGAGTTCCTTGGGAACCATCTAAAATTGATGATATTATTAAGGATTCCTTTCATAACAGTTCTCATTTGCCGCAAACCAAAGAAAAATAGTAATTTTATCAATTCACTGCGGTTGAGAAAGTGCTGGACTTTAAATGCCTTGGATCCATTTTAATTCCAAATGGCCAGGTAAAGGATGAAATCGTAACCCGGATAACGGCAGTTGTATATTTTACCGATTGATGAAACCTTTATGGAACCGTCGCGAAATCACTATAAAGGCGAAAATCGGAGTCCATATAGCTGCAATTCGTTCGATCTTGCTATATGGCTGCAAAACATGGCCAATGGGAGTGGAAAATATTAAGAAGCTATTAGCCTTTTGACCACTCATATCTAAGGTACATTTTACGGATCCGCCGAGTAGATAAAATCACGCATCCTTCACTCAAATACCATCTGCATTAATGATGTTATCACAGAGCGTCGCCTTCGCTGGTTCTTCGTCGCCCACCACAGGATTTGATGCATATTTCGTTACTTGCTAAACCGTGTGATATTGATGGCGTCAAAAGCGAGGTGGGCCAATCAAGACCTGAACTGATACAGGAAAGGTTTTGAATGTATAGGGGAACCAGCGATATATAGACTTAGACGATGGAAAAAAGAATGGCTTTTATTACTACTAGTGGCGTCGGACCGGACAGCTTGGAATTCTTTCTCTTGAAGCCAGCGAAGCCAATCTAACCAGTAATGGTGAGAGCTGAAAAAGAAAAAGAAGAAAGAAAGGTAGTAAACCTGGGCATAATAGAATTATATTGGCTGTTGCTGGTGCCATTATAGGACAACAATAGCCGCTTTGTGAGTTACAACGAGTTCCTGGTGGGCAAGCCATAGCTGGTGAACAAGCCGCTACAGGTTGACCTGTTGAGCCGGGACACATTCCTAAATTAAAATTATGGCAATTATGACAATAAATGGGCTAAGTTATGGCAATATTTGTCTTGATTAATTTGAAAATAGAAGTTTAGGACAAAATTTCCTATTGTTGCTCATTTATCATCATGCGATCATAAACTACATTCATTTTCATTAACAATTCACTGTAGTATCAATGAATTTTTAAAATCTTAAATTTATATTCTCGTATAAGGTGTAGCGAATTCTTAAATTTCTAAAAACTGCTTAAATGGTTCTTCAGCCCTCTAGAAACTTCGCAAATGATGCAAAAATCCCATTTACAGAATTATTGTGAAACTCGCCTAATTCTTGATTTAAAACAACTACAGGTGGCCCAAAATTCGGCATTGGCATCGTATTTCCCAACTGTTGCTGACAACAAATTCCAAAATTCTGCAAATAAAGGCTAAACTTGTAATTTCTTTTATTTTCAACATGTACCATCAAAACTAAATAAAATAAACCTCCATGCATCTTGATTGGCCCGGGCAACGATTTACACCTGGTTGCTGCTGCGCACATGCACACACAGGATTTGATTGTGGTGGACAGCCAATAGCGTCACCTTGATTAATTGTTAGCGATATACAAATCTGATTCGGCAAAGCAAAAGTCGTTCCTGGGGCGCAAGCCATCTGAGTCCATCGGCCACAGGGCTCGCTGAACAATTTTAAAGGAAACTGAATAAAATGAAATTGAGTATAATGATCGAAAAACGAAAAAGTTATTAACATAATTTTTTCATTCTAGGAGAAAAAGAAAGATATTTTTCTCACTTTTGACTCTGTGGCACGCACTGCAAAAAACTGGCCTCACTAAAAGGATCAGCTTGCAGATTTGCCATTCTCCAATTGCATAAATCTCCTTGAATTGGATTCTGATTTGAAACTAAAAGAATTTTTCAACAAGATTTTGTCTTTTTTCATCCAAATTGTTCAATATTATTAAATTTTTAATTTGTTAATGAAAAATTGAAATTTTTTGATTTTGAGTCCGACCGAAAAAATTTAAATTTTAAAATCAATTCACAAGCAATAGTTTTGCCTTGACAGTTCGGTCTACAGCCAATACTCGTTGGATTTAAAATACAATTGGCCTGTTGTCGCCGGTAAGTTCGTCGTTCAACGCAACGTTGCTGCGTTTCATCGAAATCCTCATCATCTGGACAAGTCCGCAAATTCCAAATACCGACATTGTTACCATTAACGCCGTACGCTCGAATCTTAGAAAAAAATTTTGCAGCAATTTTACTTTAGAAATAATTTAGAAATCTGAAGCTGACTTCCTTTAACAATTTCACGTAATATGTTATGTACCAATATTGATTAATACCTGTAAAATTATTTTAATTGAAGATTCATCCATTATGGTTTATATTAAAAGGCATATTTATCCATTGCATAGCTAATTTAGCCGAAAATTAACTGAATATTGGTTAAACTAAAAATTTTAGTAGAATAGCTCCTGTTAATACATTGTTTAACAGTCGATCTGGTTTTCCTACTGACTATTTTATTGCATATTCACAAATCGTGCCGTCATTAGAACAAAGAAGCTAATCTGTTTACCTCATCTTCGTTGAATGGTGAACACTCAAAAAACTGATTACTTGCTTCGCCAGCACGAAAACGTTCAATAGTCATACACATACGGCCTTTGATTGAAGATTCCGGCGATACTTAAAATAAAAAGCTTAGCATCATGCGTTAAAAAATTTGCCGCTTGTTCCGGCGAATGTCAGTTGCATTTTGGTTTAATTTACTTATCTGGAGGGTACTTCAAGAAGAAATATATACAATCAAATATATTCCTATTTTACATGAAATGCGTTCGTACCACTTTTGAATTAGTCAATTAGCTAATCAGACAATTTTCCAAATAATATAATAATAGGATAATGTAATTTAATTTAGAAAGATGGCAGAAAAGTTCAGCTGAAGAAAAGGGATTTGAAATAATAACATATAAGGAAGATTTTTTCTTAAATCTTGATTTTAAATTGTTTTTTAAAAATGACTGAAACTTTTAGTGGTGTTAAGAAATTCTTTAACATTGTTGTTACAATGACTGATTAGTAATGAAAGAAAAATTGAAAATTTAACCGTATAATATCAAGAAAAGGAAGAGAATGAATATGCCGAACATGGTTTAGTCGTAGATAAACTGCGAAATTCTCGATTACGAATCGAGTAGTTGGGCACGCAACAAGTTCAAATTGACTTTGAATCTATTGTTACTGCCGTTATATATAGACAATTTCGAAACAAGAACACTCAAAAACCGTCGAGCTCTTGGTCAGTTTTGTGACATCATTACGAATGAGTTAACCGGCTAAAGCAATAAACTAGATAGCCAGCCACATCGTTGACCACATACATATACATATATACAATGATTCATTAGTGCAAATATAAAGGTAAGTCTAAGAAAACTGCATGAAACTGCACGAATATCTTCAAGTTCTTCCCGGTATTTCAATATCAATGAAAGTCACAAAATTCATAGTGAAATTTTTTTTCGAAACATTGTTTTAAATTTTTTGGCATCTTTTCTTGCATTAATTGTAAAAATAAATTGCAAACTTTTGGTCATTTTATTATTATCTCTGATATTTGGACAGATTTGTTGAATTTGTTGAAATGCTTACATTATCATATCAAGTTTATTCTCTGCAAGAAGGCTATTGTCTTCAAAAAAACTGGGTGGTGGGGGGGCTCATCTACATTTTTACCTCGAACTGATTACAAAAAAATCTCTTCTTCATGATAAATGGCATTGTAGCGTGTCTGACTAGAAATCGCAGTTATTGTTTGTTCACCAACGAAATTTAAAAAATAAAAAATACGGTCACAGTTTGGTAAATTAATAAATGTAATCTATTTAACTATAGACATGGAGGATTTTATTACGAGGATTTTATCAATTTTATTATGGAAAATTTTTAAAAAATTTATTTAATTATTAGAACGATATTTTAGAACCATATAAATTTATTAATAGCTAAACATCACCCAATTTTTCAACAAAAATTTTTTTCTGAACCATTGAATTTTTGGGAATATATTTACCAAGAATTCCTCTAGATATTGGGTAAACAAAGAATTTTTTCTCAAATCCAGTTTTAGAATATAGTCAGAGGATCGTTGAAAATATTAAAGAAGTAAAATTTAAGAAATTTGTTTGGTCATTTTGTTCTCATTTTTTGCTTTTTTCTGCAATAAATTCAATAATGAGTTTTATTGAAAAATTTTTCGAAAAATTGTGACTCAGGCACGAAATTTGCATAAAATTTAAAAAAATAAACAAAGTATAAAGCAAAGCACGGTAGAATTACTACTGAGTAAAGCAAACGATTAGGACTCATCAGTTTTAGTTAGGTTGTAGTAGATTGAGCCAAATTTCGTCACTAAACTTAAGGAAAATACTACTAAGATGCATATTTTCCTCCCATTAAAACCGGCAGAATATGCGGCGCCCATGATTCGCTTTTCTCCATTCTAAATTTTCCGTTGGTTACTAATACAATCTAATCTGTCATTAATCTGTTTCAGAATCCCATTGTTTTACTGCAGCTAGGCCCAACCAGCAGCACCGTTAGAATACCAGTGGAGCCATTTGTTCTATCGCCACATATTTCACCGCTTAAATGTGTTGTAGGAATTAAATTCATCTTTTATAGTTGTTACCTTCCTACGAACGATGGAAGTTTTCGATTCGACGGCACAATTTATTCGAAGGCAAAATGGTAAATTCTTCAAAGTCATCTTCATTAATCTCGATATTCTCACCACCATTTTCGTTTGATTTATTCGATTTTTCTTCAGTTAGTTCCATATTTCTTAACCATTCATCATCATTATTGCTTTTAAATTGTTGCCTCAATTCTCATTTTTCATATCATCAAAATTACTACCATAATTATAATTTATAATTAAGAAAATGAAAAATTATTTTTTCTTCGCCTTGGTGTTACAATAATTTAATTATAAGTCTTTATCTCATGGATTTACACTGGATTCCTTCATATGTAATGAATAATCGATTGATGGATTTCAATTGCTGTTTTGGGTTGAATGTGTTCTTTCTGCAACACCTAAAAATGTGATTGAATTATTAAGAATTCAATAGTTCGCCAATTTTTTTTCCAATAAATTGAAAGAGTGCAACAATATAAAAAGTTAAAAGTAAATTGTTACCCCATATTGTTTTCAGAAAAAGAAAAAAGTTAACGTAAAAATTCTTCGGATAATAAGAATTCGAAAATTTTTTTCTTCGATAGTCATGCGATAAACGATAAATGAGTTGAGGAAAGAGGAAAAGGAGGGAAAAGAAGGAAAAGGAGGGAAAAGGAAAAGGAAAATGAAAAATTTTTTCTTCGCCTTGGTGTTACAATAAATAATATTGCACTCACTTCTTTAAGGAACTATTTCAATTGTATATATTCATTTCCAAAATAAAATAGAATAAAAGCCAGTAGTGAAATTTTCATCTCTGTTGATCTTGTCGATGAAAATCGATTCAAAAAATCTTTTAAAAAAACTATATGTTCATATGCTCTGAAGCGAATTCACTAGACCAGGCTTTTACTTTTACATATAAAAAGCTGAAAATAAGTATGGAGTTTCGATGCTAACAAAAACCATCATATTGATATTTGTTATTGACAATATAGTATTATTTTCATATTTATAGCCTGTGAAACGAAATGAATATAAAATTTGAGAAAACGAATATAGGGATTCCGAATCAAATTAAAAATGCATTTTTACGATTCATACTGCTGTGAAAAAAAATTGTTATCAAGTCTAATACCTTTTAATTTCAAAGAAGTAAGTTAAATTTCAGTCCTTTGAGATCCAGAGGAGAGCCCTTATATGGGTAGCTTCAATGGTATAAGGAGAAAGTGATATTGTATCAAATTATTGTGAATGAAAGCTAAAACTTAATAAAATTACTCATGAAATCCAAAAATAAATTTATAACATCATATCTATCCACAAGATTGTGCCATTCGCGAAAATATCGCATATACCATTAGATGTAAACGACTAAATGTGCGAAGGCATAAAAAATCTCTTGTGACACCAAATTGCATAAAATTCACTTGTATTAAGCGAAAAATTACCAAAAATTTTTATAACCAACCAAAAATTATCCAAAATTTGATGTGAATAATTCAATGATTCTTATGATTCTTTAATTTTATTGTTCAAGGATCATTATTTCGAACCATCCGATGAAGCCAACCAAACCAGAAATAATGAGTGGAAGAGTGCGAAAGGTGAATGAAGGGTTTGAAGTATTATGATATCGAATAAATCACTCTCGATTCATAACAGTCCGGTTTCCGACTTGTGAGACTTTTCTATTCCAAGTTAAATTAAGTGATTTTAAATGAATCTTGAAAAGCTGTGAATTTAACAAATTTCGATATAAACTTACAGAAATAAGCGATTGTCAGCCAGTAAAAAGCAGGAATTATAGGGAAGGAATAAAATAAAATTTTGTATTTGATTAAATTAAAGGTAAATTATAGATATCGAGACTGATTTATTCGATATCATAATGGTTTAGACCCTTCATTCACTTTTCGCACACTTCCACTCATTATTTCTGGTTTGGTTTTGGCCTTACTCTCCACTAGAAATTCTTTCGCTAGAGCTACTTGAAAGCAGAAATTTAGATTCCTCTAGTACTTGGATTTCACTTTTAATTGTAGCTATTCTCTCGTCCAGGAATCGAACATGACCCCTTTTCTCGACCATTCCGACCCTAAATTTTAGGAAATAGTTAATTATAGCACAATATTAATTCATTAAAGTTTTTTGTCGTTCATCAATTAAACTCTTAATTCTTAACTCTTAAACTCTTAACCCTTAATGACAAGTTTGTATCCTATTTTATAGAAAATAAAGTGAGGAAATAATTAACGCCCAACATTTCTAGTTAATTCGCTAATTACTACTTAACTAACAGCACCATTAGTGCGTAGAAGTATAGATGGGTCAGCTGAGGTATGATCACCAGAATTATGCCAGAATTAAAATATTTTTATAGCATTTTTTTAATATGAGAAACTCTCATTTATACGAAGCAGGGAAGACTTTTCTTTTCGGTGAAAATTCTGAAATTTGCCGAAATTTAAAAAATCGATGACCTTTTAAACCCATTCATTTCAACTAACAATTCATATAAATTACCTATTAAATTGTCCTAAATTTTTTTTTAAATGATCTTTCTCGCATTAAAAAAAACATTAAAATCTTTAAAAGGTGATAACCATTTTTACGGCTGATTTTTATCGTCAGTCTAAATTATGCTTAATATTAAATTATACCTTTTGTTTCTAATATTATTATGAAATATCGTAAACATCCTTTATTCATCAATATTACTAATACAATTTTGCAATCCAAGTTTAGGATTCTTGAGTGGTATCTTCGACTTAATCCAAATCATCGTAAACGCGATTCTTGTCCCTTGAAAGGACTAAGCCTCTCATTTTTAAAGTCAAATCTAAATGGTACTAAATTTCATCTATACTTCTATATACCAGAATTATTCTCTGATGAAGAGATCTCACTCCAGTGGTTAATAGAGTCAGCCAAACCAGAAATATGTGTTATATGTGCTATTAGAAGAACAGTAGAAACAGAATTATTCAGAGAGCTTTAAAAAGAAATTTTATCTGCCACTATTGTAAATAAAATATATTTAAAAAATGAATATAAATAAATATCACAATAATATGAAAATTATTGCTGTCATAAAAGCATACAAAATTTCGCGAATAGTAAAGTTTAGATATGAATTGCTTTTGTCGACAAATTCCTGTAGTTTTCCAATTTCGGTTTTCGATTAATTATTAGTTAAATTATCAAGATTTAAAATAGTTTGTAAATGCCTTAAATAATCACTGTGATATACGAGACGAATCGCTCAGTTTAATGGTGATTTTCAAGCACAAATTTTATATGATGGATTAATTAAATAATACAGACTGGGAACGAGAGGTTTAGAATTGCCTCTTGTGGCCAGTGCAGTCTATCCAAGCAGTAATGGTGTGAGATGGTCGAAGAAGAAGAATAATTAATTATTCTTAATTATTATTAGTATAATTGTAATTAATTACAATAGTAATTATTTTCATAATTAAAATTATTTAGTTATTTATTTTATTATTTTTCCAATTAAAGAATTTTCTAATTTATATGTCGATTATTAACAATGCAATCAATCATTATAGTTAAACTGGTTCTTCCGCATTTGCCAATAAAATTCTTATCCTCAGCGATCAATCACTGGGAAATTTGTTGATAGCGAAAATACCTGCAATACTATTTTATTGCGTTTTGCGAAGGCCCTTAATGAAATTTTATCATAAAATTTTAGAAAATTTAAGCTAGGAATTCTTTATATTGTATTACCATTCATATATTTTTACTACAATATTTATGAGACCATAGGTCTAACAAAGGATCCAGTTCTCGAACAATGTTTATGCCTGTAATTATGCAGCTACATTCACGACTGTTTTAGTTTTAATAGATCGCATTTTCGAGCTTTACGATGAATTTGATAGAGTTAACTTCGGGTAAACTCTCTCCATTACCAAAATATCCTGCTGAACAACGAGCTGCAAATGTTCCACATGCTCCTGTCAGGATTGTACCTCTGAATAAAAAAGAACGCGCAGTAATGAATTTTTCTCAATTTACTGCATTTTAAGTTTTTTTTGAAGAGATTCACATGACTTTTCAAATATTCAAAATTATTTGATACTACATTTAATAATGATAATGTTGATAATAATTCTAAAAAATTCTAAAAAATTTGAAATTCTAAATGTTTATCAAAAACTGCTTTTTCATTTTAATGATAATGATAATGATAATATGCAAAAATTTATAAAGATGATTAAAGCTAGCGAATTCAGTTAATGCTAAATCTTATTTAGTTGGCCATTGCAAATATGTTACGTTATGTGCCAAAAGCGGATCATGATTTACTAGCCACAGAATTCGAAGAAGAGCTTAATAAATATGGACATATTTATGCATATCGATTCATGCCAAACTATTCTTTGAAGGTGGATTTGCAATCTCTTTTTTCTAACTCTTCCAATTTCTTTCTCTAATAAATAAATTTTTAATTTAATTAGTTTTGTCCACTACTGAAATAAGATTCTCTCGTTGTACAATCACTTGTAGTTGTCGAGCAGAAAGTGTCGCTCAGTCTTATTAATAGATTTGCTTCAAATCTAAGCAAAGAAGCACATTAAATCAACCCATTTCCTATTGGAATTTCGGTCAGAATTTCGGTTAAATTCTTAAAAAAAATTCTTTTCCCACGCTCTGTAGGGCGGTTAAGTCATCTTTGACCTCGGCTGTGCAGTATGCGGATCAAGCAAATAGCAAGCGGCGTCCTATGCTTAATCCTCCTCCAGTGTCTGCTACTGCTTCAGGCATTCTCCCAATAGCTCAAGTCTTGGTATCATCTTGCTGAAGTACTCCTGAATACTTCGAGATTCATTCAGGACAGTGGATTCACCTTCCCCATCTTCTTTCCTGCTAGTTTTTGATGTTAGACTTCTGCATTGTGAATCTAGATCTTTGGAATTCTCCATGCCTTTCTTCTTTTGGCATATCTGACTTCTTCTTTTGACAGCTCTCATCATTACTGTTTAGGCTATAAAGGTAAGACGTCTCCAGGCTGCTCGGTTCGACGCCATCGCTAGTAGTATAGAAGCCATTCTTTTTTCCATTGCCAAAGTCCATATCGCTGCTCCCCCCATACGTTCAAAATCTTTCCTGACTGTATCAGTTCAGGTCTTGACTGGCCCTCCTCGCTTTTGGCGCAACCATCACAGACGTCAACTTCTGTGGTGGACGACGGAAAACGTGCCTTAACCAGCGACGCTCTGTGATGACATTAATACAGGTAATAGTTGAGCGGAGATGGATGAAATCATGTGCGATTTTATCCGATCGGCGGATTCGTAAAATATATTTTAGACATGAGTGGTCAAAGGCTGATAGCTTCTTGATATCTTCCACTCTCATTGGCCATGTTTCGTAGCCATATAGCAAGATCAAACGAATTGCAGCTATATGGACTCCGATTTTCATTTTTATAGTGATTTCGCGACGGTTCCATAAAGGTTTTAGATTTATATTAATTTCGAGTCCAATCCTCGCTGCAGTTGTTGACACTTTTTTAACATTATTTGCATTTTATTATAGCTGTAAGTAAAAATGACTGCATCATCAGCATATTCGAGATCTGTGATGCTATGCTCTGGACTGATTTGCACACCTTTTAATTGCCGACAAGTGGTGCCTATCGCATAGTTGAATATTGTGAGGGAAAGGACGCAACCACTTTTTATTTCGAAGAAGCCTGTCATTCCCCATATACACAGACCTGCACCAGGGTATGCTAATAAAATACTTTTATGAGTCGAATGATCTTCTCTGGGCACCGTCATATTCCATCACTTTCCAGAACTAAGCTACTCTACTAAGCGAATCAAGTGACGGTGGGTTGCTGGTATTTGAAGCGATGTTCCAGCACCTTTGTTAGCTAAATGTGTTGTCAGCACAACCGTGTCCCAGTCTGAATCCAGCTTGGTTAGGACGCATTCTGCTATCTCGTGTTGCCTGAGTCTATTTAGCAGAAGGAAAGCGAAAATTTTCCCGGAGATGTCCAGTAGGTTGATTCCTCGGTAATTGTGTGTCTCAGTGTGTCCTTTCATTTTTCTTAGGAATTGGAAGAATTGCTTTGCTCCATTCTTCTGGTATTATTTCCTCTTACCATACCAGAAACCATCTGTTGAAGGTGAGTTATGATCGATAATGGACAAAATTTGAAGAGTTCGGCCCGAAAACCATCTTCTCCCGGAGTTTTATTGGCCTTAAACTAATGGATTATAAAGATTATTTCCTCTTCTCTTAGTGGTTCACAGTTGCAAAAGTAAAACTCGACGAGCGAATCAGTTATATTCAGGACAACAGATGGCGCATCACATGGTTAAGTGGCTCCAAAAAATTTTGTGCATCTTCTGAGGCGATCCTTAATATCTTTAATAGGCACCCCTAATATCCCGTATCATTTCACTGACGCCTTCTCGAATTACAATTGCTTTGTGAAGAAGGCGATTCTCCTCCATTCTCAAGACAATATCGCTCCAATAGCGATTTCTATCCCGCCGTGCTGCTGTCGTTGTAATTCTTCGAAGCACCGATAGTCAAGATCTTCTAACATTCGGGCGCTAGCAGCTTTTTCAAAGAGTTGGAGTTAGACAGTTACTTCCGACACCCAATTAGCGCATTTCCTACTAATATACTATAGTGTGGAAGTGGCCGACTTTTGTCTTTAGTTGATTTGAAATGCGCCTATTATTTCCGGATTTTTAATTTGAGATAGTTGAAAGATCTTGGGATACATTATTTTTTGTTGTCTTGTTTTTTACGACTTGTCGATTTTATACAAATCTTGGTTCGAAACATAACATGGTCAGATCCATGGCGTTTGCCAGTTTCAGCCCCCCAATGAGAACGACATTGTGAAGAATTTCTAGACCTTTGACATTCTCCATGTTTTTCTTCTTTGGCATATCTGACTGGCAAAAATATGTGTTTATGACATTCTGCTATGACTGACGTCGAGCTGGTTCTTCAGGGTCTCATTCTTTAGTAGTAGTACTTGGATATTGCTTTCTTTCTTTCCTTTACATCATAGTTCCCATGTGAATGAGAAATATCAAGGAGTAGTCTGCTATATACCCGGCTGGCTGGTCTACCTCATTAGTTTTTCCCTGTCTTTACTGCCATGTGGCCATGTTTTTCTAGCCCGAATGACAACACAATACTCTCAATGTGTTAGATGAAAAACGATTTATTTCATCATATCATATAACTTGATGTCATCCGCATAGAGAAGGTGGTTCCGTTCTTTAATTTATATCCACATCCACTTCTTGTGATTATTTAACTACGAGAGTTTAGAGACTTTTGCAGGACAGTAGCGAGATCCGTGTAGCCAGAACGTGTTCTGGTTGATCTAAATCTTGAACTTTGGGCGTTACTCTATTTATGAGCAATTGGCGATTTGAGTCTTCGATATTATTGTTCTCGATTCTATTTTGCTCTGGTCGCTTACTTGGCGATGATGTCTGAATAAGATTTTTATGTTGTGAAGTCCCGAAAATCTTGTTGATGTACCTGGATGAGGGCCTGCAGCTAGTTTATCTATTGTTCATAAACTGCTATTAATTTCTTCTAGTAGGTGTGGATCATAGCCGTAGACGCTGTGAAAAGTATTCGTTGCCATGTTGGTAAATCTGCTCATGCTCTGGGAGTTCGCTATAACTTGTCCTCATGTCTACAGCTCATTGCATTGGTGTTATGAATCTCCTTTTTCTCCCATATGTTCTTCCATGTATTTCTATTTCTACTATTGATTGTTATTGCATTCTTAATCTATGTACTATCATACAGGGCGATGTTTCTGCCACCTGACTAACTTCTCTACAATATAATCTGATCTTATTCTTATTCTCTAGCCTTATTTTCCAAGGGCGATGCATGTAATGCGTTTCTTCTTGATTTTATAGCTAAGCATCGCCAGAATTACCGTGGCTGTAGCGCAAACCAATTTTTTTATTGCTCTTGTGGAATGAGGATTATCCTGAAGGCTCTATTCGCGTTTTCAAATATATCTTCAAGACTTTTATTCTAGTATATTGTCTGGTAGTACGCCTTTAAGTACATTTTTGGTGCGACTTCTCCAGTTCGGTCTAAAGTATAGATTACAACCAGTTTTATTCATAATTTTTTGTCTCATGTCAGAGGCTATGTAATGAGAATGTTAGAAGGGAATTTCCAGCTTCTTATCTTATTAGCTGCACATATTTTTCTTTTAATTGGGTCCTGAATGTTGGAAGGCTAAAATTAAGTTAAGAAAGCAGCTTGCTTTCCTTTATTTTAAAATGTTGGGCGACTAATTGCTTCTCAGTTAATGTGGATGCAGATCTTTTGATCTTTTTGATTATCCATAGTTCCTTTATATATCTCCTCTTATTAAGTCTGCTATATTAGTAACATTCCATCAGCTCCAGATTATCTTGCCTTGTCCACGTAGTGTTTGTTCAAATGGCCCAACGAGGATGTCTGGCTTGTAACATCTGGCGTTGTTCCAGTAGCCTACTCACCATCAGATAGTCCTAATTCCGCAATACTTGACGTATGTTTTCCTAATCTTAATCCGCGTCAGCATGATCTTACAACTGGAAAGATAAAATATATATATATATATATATATATATAGGATCTGATACAGCGTAGTGGTTAAGGCGGATTATGGAATATATGGAATATTATAATGACGGTCAGAATCACAATCATCCAACCAATCATCTCCGAACCAATCATCTCCAAACCAATCATCTCCACTTTTCCAGTAAGATTCATTTGGCGAGACCATCTGAAAGCTTACTTCAGCCTCCCAGGCCTCTGATAGAGGACTCGAGATTGAGGTTGACCCATACCACCCACAAGGAGTGATACGGAATTTATACAATATATATAAAACAGACACTATTTTTTTAAGGCACCATCAATAAATGAAATTCCTGGAAAATGTTTACATGGTCGAGCAATAATATTGATGATTCTCAATAATTTGGATCCTGCCGTTGCTCAGTTTCCCCAAGAACTTGTTACTTATGGAGGAAATGGACAAGTCTTTTCTAACTGGATTCAAGTATGGTTATAAAAAACTGGCATTATTCGATTACGCATATACCATTGACGTTTGATTAGATTTCAAATCTTATAGCAATATGAACCAAGGCAAATAATAAGTTTACTCTGAACACCAAACATGAAAAGGTTAAGGAATAATAAGTTTAAATATAGGGAATACAAAGGTTAAGGAATAATGATATGAATGATAAAAAATTAATTCGAAAGCTGCTTATTATATTATTAATATTTTAGTTTCGGTTAATGTTGCATTATTTGTCAATAATTGATGAAAAACAGACAATTTCGCTGTATTCCGGTCATCCAATGGGAATTTATCCATCTCACCGAAATGCTCCTCGTTTGATTATCACAAATGGAATGGTAATCAGTGATTGAAAATGAAAATTACATAAACCCCAAAAACTTGAGGAAAAATCAACTTTGTTTTCATCTTTTTTTAATTTTATTACAACTTTTTATTTCTTAATATTTATAAAAATATTCATCAAATCTTATATTTATTTTAATTTTTTAGATGATACCTAATTATTCAACGAAAGAGTTATATGATAAATATTTTGCATTGGGAGTCACCCAATATGGACAAATGACCGCTGGAAGCTATAGTTATATTGGACCGCAAGGAATTGTTCATGGGACCACAGTAAGTATGAAGAATGAAACGGATCGCAAAAAATAAGATTAAGATCGGATATTAAGAAAATGCTACGAGCAATTTTTCGCTATAATAATAGCAAATATTTAATGGCAATAAAAATTAATAATAATATAATAATAATAAATAATAATGATATGATTTTCTCAAGAAATATAATGTCGTCTTTCAATTTCGAGTCCTGGTTGTCCTAGTAAGGGAGTGCGGCAATAATTACGAAATTTAAAAAATTGTAAAATTTTTGAATAAAATAAAGGGGAATTAGAAAAAACTATCGTATTTCCTCTGACAGCACTTTTCATCATTTCTCTGGCACCTCAATTATTTTTACTCATTACGGAGTAATTTAAATAACCCTGCGGCTACTACAGAGCAGCTAGATTTGACTGAGTATCAAGCGAGCATAAAAGGATCGGAAAAAATCTGAAAAGAATTGAAAGAAATTACTAAAGGGTTACGACAAAAAAAGCGATGAGGATCGTTGAGATATTAAGACAAAATATTTGGTTTGAAAATAGTGAGGATCTAAATATAAGTAAGGTTTGACGAAGAGATATTGGAAGGTGAATTTCAATACATTAGGATGAACCAATTGTTTGAGAACGCAGCGGTGAATATTTTATTATACAAACTAATACGAAAAGAGTGCCATAAAGATGGAAATAATTTTTATCTCTTGGAGAGCAAGATGATCATGCTTATATAATAATGAAAATCTTTTTAGGCATGAATAAATAAATCCATTTAATAAAATCACTCAGCATTAACCTATAGCAAAATTACACAAGCATTGAAATAATGTAACTTATTTGTATAGAACTGTAAATATAAGGCAGCAACGAGAAATATTTGAATGGGAATTGGCAAGATCATAAGGAGTTTTAATAGGAAGATCAAGAGTGTGGGTTCCATTTCTAGTTTACTGAATTCTAGAGTCCTACAGGAAATGCATGCATCTCGGGCTAAAAACCACTTCTTCTAAAGAATATGTACTGAACATAGTTTATATGAACCCGATTTAGATCACTATCATAAACGCTGGGCGTAAGTACCTTGGTGTAAAGAATCTTGGTGGTATACTTTTCGTCACATCGGGATTGGGAGGAATGAGCGGTGCACAAGCGAAAGCAGCTATAATTGCTGGATGTATTGGTGTTATAGCTGAGGTCCATTTTTGTTGTTCCTTTTTGTTTCTTGTGATAAAATATAATTTACTAGACCAAAAATTAATTTTACAGATATCGAAAGATGCTCTCATGAAACGTTTTGTTCAAGGATGGCTAAATTTATACAGCGACAACTTGGACAAAATCATAACTTTGATTAGAGAATATAAGCAGAATAAACAAGCAATTAGCATAGGATATCTCGGCAATGTTGTTGATCTGTGGTATGTTATTTCTTCAAGATTGTTTCTATGTGCAACCAATTAATTTAGGGAGCGACTGGTAGAAGAAACGGATCTTATCGTAGATCTTGGTTCAGACCAAACTTCGCTTCATAATCCTTATAATGGTGGGTATTATCCAGCTGGTGTTTCATTCGAAGAAGCCAATAAATTAATGGTCGAAAATCCAGAAAAATTCAAGACACTTGTAAAAAAAAGGTAGGCAGACGTTTGAGGCGCCAGAGAAATATTTGTTATTGAAAATGAACTTGAAAAATCTTTACGTCAATAATAATAATCTTTACGTCGAAAAAGTTTTTTTATTCGAAATCCCTGAAATAAAACCATAGAAGACGTCGATGCTCTTCCTTGTCAAGCATTTCACTGACTCGACTTTTAACTGCCAAAATAAGACATATTTTTTCGCCAAAGAATTACTTGGGATAGCATGTACACTTTTCCAGTTGGAGAGATCATCAATATAATTCAAGAATAATTTGAATGAGGAAGGGAAGACTACAAGGAAAAGGTATTAAATAAGGCATAAATAATTCCATTTTACGTATTTTTCTGGAAAATTATTCGGTTTAAGCCTTTTACGCCAAATTGCTGCCATCGATAAACTCACCAAAAATGGAATGCATTTTTGGGACTATGGCAATGCGTTCTTGCTTGAATGTGCACGCGCTGGTGCTAAAATATTTGCCGCTGAAGCTGCAGATGATAAAACATTCAAATATCCATCATATATGCAAGACATTATGGGGTATTTTGATTTAATTTATTCAAAAAGAATTTATATTTTGTCTTCTTTTATTTTTATAAACAAATTTGTTATCAAACAACTATAATAATTTTTTATAAACAAATGTTCACAATTTTTCACAAAACCAAACATTTCGATATATTGCAATAACATTGCACTAAATTATGGATTTATCATGTGGGAAAAGGTGTATTAGAATGGAATTAATAGAATGATACAAGAAATCTGCGAAAAAAACTGATGATTTAAACCTGTCATGCTGGACTTTTCAAAAATCGTAAGATCGAGAAATTTCCCGGGATTGTGGCTCTCGGCCCAAAAGTTTGGGTTGAGTAAAACCTATTTTGAATCTATTCTAATTAAATTAAATATTAAAAAATACGCGACCGAGTAAAAAATTTTTCTATCTAACTCTACCTTCAACTTATAATTCGCTGAAGAGATAAAGTGTGATACGCCGCGGTTTATTCAGCAAAAATTTCGCACGATCTTTCGCCACAATTACTTTTATTATATCACAGTTATTTTTTAAAATTTAAATCAAATCCTAGCGATATATTTTCGATGGGTTTTGGACCATTCCGTTGGATTTGTGCCTCTGCTGATCCCAGCGATCTTCGAATCGCCGACAAATTGGCTTATGATGTTATTAAAGCATTAGCCAACGAAAAAGGTGATTTGATCTAATAATATTTCTGTAAAATTATTTGCGCTTTCGATTATTCAAATATTTATATGGTAGATTTCCGATTATTATAAATTTTCCACTTGCATTAATTCAAACCATTAAAAAATAAATTTTTGAATTAGATATGTAAAGCATTTAACGCTAACCATTTTAACTAGTCGCTTCACTGATTGTTTGCACGATGAGGAATCTTTGCGAGAGGTCACTTGCGGATAAAAACAGAAAGAGGTCACCAGTACAGCTCGGAATTTTTGTCCAGACCTTGATGGTGAAGGCGGTAATCTGAGCGAAAACCACCCGGCTACCTTACTTCTTAAAATCATAGAAGTTATCCACAATAACCTAGGAATTTGTCACAGGGATTTGGAGTGGACTGGTGAGTTAGTGAATCAGTTTGAAATAGTTGATTAATTGAATGAAACATGGAGATAAAGAGAATAGAGACGATGGCAACGAATTGCAAAAAACATCTGCCATTCGATTATTTTGACTCTGAAACGAAAAGATCTTCAGCTCTATGATTCTAAAAAGGTTAACCCAATTTAAATTTATAGTACCTAAGGAGATTCAACAACAATACCTCGACAACAGTGAATGGATAAAGCAAGCTGATAAACACAAGCTAGTCGTTGGGTCACAAGCCAGAATTCTGTACTCAGATTTAGAAGGACGAATTGCTATCGCTAAAGCATTCAATACTGCCGTTGCAGAAGGCAAATTGAAAGTCAGCTTAAGTTTCAAAAAGCTTTTTAAATAAAAGAGGTGCGATAATAATATTAGTTTTCAGGGTCCCATAATTATTAGTCGCGATCACCACGATGTTAGTGGAACAGACAGCCCTTTCCGAGAAACATCCGATATAACTGATGGGTCTGCTTTCACTGCTGATATGGCGATTCAAAATGTGATCGGTGATTCATTCCGTGGTGCCACTTGGGTATCAATCCACAATGGTGGTGGAGTTGGATGGGGTGATGTGATAAATGGTGGATTTGGCATGGTACTCGATGGGAGCCACGTAAATTAGTTCATAATTTCTCATATAAAATTTTCGAACTTTTTATGCTCGATTTTAAGGAATTCAGCTCTATGAGCACCATTGTCTTCTCAAAAATAGAAGTTGCCCGAATGGATTCAAATCCATAAAGGAGGTGGTGAGCTATGCAAAATGCAAACTTTAGAATTTTCGGAATATTTTTGGAATATTTAACAAATTTAAATTTGAGCTGATCTATTCAAAATTTGTTTAACTGCAGGATGCAGAAAAAAATGCCGACTCGATGCTTACATGGGACGTGGCAAACGGCATTAGTCGACGATGTTGGGCCGGAAACAGTTTGGCCAAGGAGGCGGTGCATAGAGCCATGAAAAAGATAAAAAGGCTTCGTGTTACGATTCCTGAGGCGGTTGATATGAAAAAATTAATCAAAGAATAATTAATCATATGCAATAAAAATCGAAATTTAAAGGATAAGCAATTTTTTAAAAGCAATCGATATCGAGTTATATTCTTATATTATTGAATTTTATGTCTTTTGATCATGATGATAAAACGTGATTTGGTCTAATTACAAACTAACTGAGAGACGCTGTCGAGGCTCTGGCAGAGACAATTCATACTTAGCTGCGCTATTCTATAGGGCGATTTTCTATTTTCCAGCTGTGGAGGTATGGTAGCCGACTGGTCGAGAATTGCTTAGTCTGAGGCTAGACACCACAAGTTTGGTCCATGTGGTCCTTGACATTGATAAACCTGTCATTATAGATAGCATCCTGGTGATGTTGTAGATTCATTTTCCATTTTCAAGTGTTTTCGACAAGTGTAGGAAATAGTATCAGGTAAGCCAGGAGGAATGCAAGCTGACATAAGAGCGAAGGCTCTTCTGCTCGACCGTCATGGAGTGCGAGTATTCACTTCTTGCACTTTTTAAGTACCACGATACCCGTAAAAGAATCCAAAATCTGCGTGAGAATCCAAAAGTTCTTTTCGATGGAAAATACGCATACGATTATTACAGTCCTCGCAACGCCGCCGATTCTACTCTATTTCATACGTCTAGATATCAGATAAATTAATTTATTAGGCGCAGATACTTTGCTCTGTGCAACGAGCATAGCAACGAAAACGGCGTCATAGAAGTCGATTTGAGCCAAATGAGCACTTCAAATTTATTCACTTCTTTCATTTTCTGCAAATTCCATCAATTCAGATACGAATTGGCCGTTCAAGTGTCCTTTTTATTCGCTCCGTATTTAAGTTTTATTAAATATTATATTGTAGTTTTTAAAGAATGCCCATTATTTGCGTGAGTTTTGATATAAAAATGATTTTGAATGGCACGATTTTCTCTCATTCTCGCATTAGTGGCTAATTGTCCTTGCAAGGAAATGCCATCCACAAGTCTTTCGTCGTTTGAAAATTGCAGCCGTGTTCGATTTTTGATAATTTTTTCTTATCTATAAGTCATTAAATCTAATCTTTTAGCTCTAATTAATTTATTGCCTGAACCCCCTTTGGAGCACAAAAACGGAGGCGATTTGTGCAAACCGTTCATTTGTATAAACTGTAACAATCCGTTCATGGCGAAACCAGTTAATCCTTATTTTTTCATCTTCAACTTCAGGCTTATAGCCTTGGAACATAAAATTTATGAAATATATGCAAACTGAAAAGATTTTTCATCAATTCTGGGAAGCTTTTCCTGTTTTTGTTGCGAATATATTCTTTGAATATTGAAGATATGTTGATAGATTTGGTTGAAAGTAGTAGGCGATGAGCATTCACCATTTGGCTTTGCTGTTAGAAATTTTTATCACATAGTGATGCAGATTAATGCAGACAGGTGAGCAACACCACTCGGATTTCAAAAGCCAAATCATCAACATAATAATCTTAGCCAAATGTCCACTGAATGTTCCGCTGTCACCCCACCTCGGGCGATTCATCTTTCGAAAAACACTGATTTTATCTTTTCTTAATTAAGTGCATTTAATAAAATCTGGATTATTGTACTAAACAGTGTTCGGTCCGATTAATGTTCCAAATAAATAAAAATGAATTTAGAATATTCAAAATGAAATCTGCAATGAAAATTCAACGAGCCAATAGAATTTTGAAGCCTTTCAGAGCAAAGAAGAAGCACTGTAAAATATTTAAAACACTTCTTTTGATTCTAATAACATTCGTCATTCTTCTAAGTAATCGTCGCTTCTGCCTTCTTTTAAATGCTTTTAGGTGAACTGTGACGGCAGTTATTTATTTGTCTCCTTGCGTTCTAATGAGCATCAGTAGCTTTATCGTCCTTTTTTTTCAGTATACGTCGCAATTTTCATTAATTATTTTTTTGCATACAATGAATTATGTTGATTATTCATGTGTTTTCTAGCTATTTTTGTTATATCCTCTTACCATCCAGGGAGTGAGAAAGGGATTTATTTGCTCCTCAAGCTCGGAAACCTCTGGCAAAGCAATCGAAGTTGAGGATGATCCTCTTATCATCCACAGGGAATGAGAAAGGGTGTAGGTATATAATAATTTCTTATAGGTAAAATTTAAAGTTTTTTCAAAAACTTAGGACGAATTCTGCTCTTTTTATGTCGTGTGGGACGAGATTTCTTTGGCATTGGTTCGTACCATACTAATATGGCATATTTTTTTATTGATAGTAAAAAACAATATTAGCGAAAAAAACAACTGAAAGACTGAAAAAGATGTTCGAAAATAATTTGCAATAGTAAGATTTTTTAAAGAGAGATTTTTGTATTTAGCCTTTTAAATTCCGTAAGAGTTCTCACTTTTTCATTTTTTCCCCGTCATCTTTCCCCTTCGCCCTTTCCTCCAACTGTTCAATTTTAATTGACTGCTTTATGCAAAAAATATTTTGAAGATGCTCAGTTGAAATCTAATAATTTGATCGCCTTGTTAAAATTCGCACTGAAATTGGGTTTCAACAATTTTAATCAATTACAGCCAAATTTGATAAAAAATCTTTCGTTCACAGTCAGCTCGCTAGAATTTTTTATAAAATCTGAGCCACTGAAATAAGCGTATGATTGGAAATTGTTCTCATTTTATGTAGGTTAACTCTGAAAAATTTACGAACCAATTGGCCAAATATTAAAATTTCCGCACTCTAGAAATTGGCACTACAATGAAAATTTTAAGTAATTTATCAAAAATTTGCAAAATTTTAAATATTGTGGAAATTTTTAAACTAAACTTCTTATTTAAAAAATAAAGTAACCATTAGGGTAGATTAGTTGGTTGTTCAGAAATTTTTGCCAGGGAATCATTTCGTGATAGAGGTATGTCGCAAGCGTCCGGATTTTTAAAGCAAATTAATTCTTGTCAGAAGCAGGCAGCAGAATCCTCTTTTCTTAACATGACAAGCAAGTGCCCATCGGCTCTGTCTTCCGTTCGCATATCTAATATTGCTTGAGGTGCATTAAAATATAAAAAATGAATCCAAATATGTAAAGGGATGCTCATAAAAAACTAACACATGGCAGTTGACGAGATATTGTGCTGAGACAGATTTCATAGAAGTAATTGGCAAAAATATTTTATATATTTTTTGGTCATAAAAAAGTGTTCAGTGTTCGTGATATAATTTATTTGAAAAAATGTGCGTGTTATGCTTTAATTTGTTTTTTAATTAATTTGTTTTATAAAATTTCAATCATAATTTCGAAAAAATACTGAAGGAAACGAGGAGACCGATAAGTACCGAAGAATTCTTTTTTCTAAAAGCATTTACCATTTCTTTGGCTGTTTGCACTACCATTAAACGATACCCCTTCGCCAGAGAGTCATTTGGGGATAGCGGTGCACCTTTAGGTAACCTAAATTTTATTTTTATTAGTACCTCCCTTTCCCCGTCAAAGGGTACGAATGGAACCATTTCGACGGCTCGACATAAGCATAAATTTTTTTATTTGTCCATTTGTAATATAAAACCATTTTTTTCCTATTGATAGATTTCTTTTCCTTTTTGACGAATATTTTGTAAAAAACTTAATTATTCGCATCATTGCCATCACCGTAAGAGATCACCTTTCTTCCAGTCGCTCCAGTTTTCTTGTAATGCTATGACTACCTTAATAATTTATCTGATATTTTATTATAAGTATTTGTTTCCTCGTTTTTTATTTGTTGTTCTCAGCATTAAAAATTTTTCTCCGTATTATGCGATCAAATGGCTTAACCTGAACCTATGCTTCTTTTTCTATAGTATTTTCTCTAAGGTCCCTTTATTTGTTGAATGTTCTGTCGACGATGTGTTGAGGGTTTTCTTCCATAACTTGGAAATATGTATCCAATCTCCTTTTAACTCCTTTTTTATCACCAATCCGTATAAAACGACTGGAAATATTTTGTTCATCAGTTCATTTTGGGCATTCTAATTTTCAATTTGTGATTTATACTGGCATTTTTCTGTGATTTTCTAAATTTTCTCATTGCCCCTCTTACTTCTTAGTGTCTTCTCTTGATTTAGTCACACAGATGCGAATTAATTATAATTTTAATAATTATTTTACAACAAACTGATTCGTGGATATGCGATCGAATCCAAATAATTGAATTTTTACCGAATTTCTTTGCAGAATTAACAGAGGTATTAACAGATGAATACGAAAAATGAAAAATATCTTTGTGGTCTAATGAAAATGCACACTGCATGTTTGAGTGTTTATTTTGCAGAGACCTTAATTTATTCGCATATGCTCGCTTTTACGTTGGCAAATTTTTTTCAAGGTTATCAAAAAATTATATTAATCGCATAATTACTACCATATAAAATTAAGCTGAATTTGGTAGTGAAGGTTCACCTGTATTTCTTCACCAATGACTCCAGTCAAGGTGACTCTCATTTGAGCCAGCCAGTTTCGTAATGAAGATTACCTTGTTTGAAACCTTTCCAAATTCCACAATTAATGAAATAGCTGCACAATAGAAAAATGCATATTTTTTAGAGATTCATAAAAATATGTCTTTTTTATTTCCATTTCAATTTTTAGATTGCTATGATCGCTTTTTAGAAAATTAAATTTTCAGATGTATAATTTAAATTGTAGGCAATTATGGCTTCCCTCCAATAACTAGCATGATTACTTGTTCTCAATTTATTTGAGATTTCTTTTCGAATTTCTTTCTTCCTATAATTTTTAACTGTAATATTATCATAAGGTGAGAAAATCTGATATATCTCCGAGTAATATATCTTAGTGGTCGTAATTTTTGATGGCTATTTACTCTTTCCCTCTTATTTATCAACTGTATGTGAGTACTTATCATTTATTTGTCTTTTTAGACTTACTTATATTTCTATAAAATATTAAATAATCATCATCTGGACAGTTTTAAGGCGGAGAGCGATACATGGAGATTCAATCGGATTTTGGAAAGATTGGAAAGATACGACATAAATTCATTTTG